GTTTATTAAAACGATTTCTCTATTTTGCTGGCGGATGTAGACTGAAAAAGCAACGACTCTCCAAACAGGGGGGGGGGGGGGCAAGATGGAACAAAAACACATAAGCATGTGTGATTTAGCCGCCGATATATATATATATATATATGTTGTTATTAGTGTGGGAAGCAAAGTAGAGGAAGACCAAGGTAAATGGTTAATTGTCGATATCAAATGATACTTGTTCGTGAGTATATGTACAAGGATTAAGTAATGTATCTATTTATTTATATATATATATCTTTCTTTATTCTTGGAAGAAGGTGAAAAATGTGGATAATTTTTTGGATTCAGATGGTGAATATGGGGGGATGAAGATCTATCTAACGTCGCTGGATTCGAGCTGTTTCAGTGACTGTTTGTTCTGCTCAGCATCTAACATGTGTACTTCATGAATGATCTTATTGGTTTGTTTCTTTTGCACACTGCCAGGAACATCTGGGATGACGTTAATGTTAGGGGAATGGTAAGATTCTGTAGTCAAATGAATAGCATTAGGTTCAGAATCCTTGTATCTACCAAACTTCCCCGACAGGATTTCTTTAACGTAGTACTGCTTGAACTCCAAAGGTGTTTGAAATAAGGTGATTTCAAGATCTGGAATCATGTAACCTGTTTTGGACTGCAACAACTTTGTAAAATTAAACTTATCCTCTATCGAGGAAAAAGATTGGTCTAATGTTTGATCTTTATTAGTATTTGCTATAGATTCTGATATAATATTATCCAGTTCTGTCTCCGAGGAAACTTTTGATTTTGACATCCATCTGTTGAATGGAATAGAGTTTAGAATTGCGGAATCAATTTTTTTCTTACCTTTTAGTTCTTCACCGATGAAATTCTCAGGAACCAACTTTAATTTAAGCTGATTCACAGTATTTCCATTACCACCATTGTTTTCATTAGAGATATCACCATTTTCTTCAATCTCTTTCATAATTTCACTGGTTTCTCTAGGTTTTTCCTCTGGTTTCTCATTTTTCCTACTTTTCCACCAGGACAACATGTTTCTCTGGATACCAGATGTATGTAAGGCTCTAATTCCTCTGACATTGCGAGAAACGATAGACATATTTAAAATATTAAAATACAATTATGTATATTCGACTCAGCTATATCAATAACAAAAACTTCAAACAAAAAATTGAAATAAAATAGAGTTTTTGAATCAAACTTGGAAGAAGAAAAGGAACCTAAACAATAATCTAACAAATGTTGACCTCAAATCCTGCTGCAGTTATCAATGTCCTTATACCTTGATGGGTTTGATATTCTTTTTATCTGTATTAACCAACATACAATCTCAAATATTTTTTTTCTTCAGTATTTTCCATCAAAAGTTTCCCATTTTCTACTAGTACCTATTGCCCGTTAATTATGAGGTGTAAAGATGTTACCATATATACATTATCACTATTTAATGAAATATTAAAGCAAACTGGTACCAGACCAGACTTAAAATGAAGTCAAAAATGAACTTTGATTGATTGATTGATTGAATTAGTGATCCTTAGTGGTTAATCATCGATTATATTAGTGTTGTGGATAAACTGGTAATCTGGTTTTAATATAATTGTATATTGAGGGGAGAAACAAAGACACAGGAATTGGAAAATATTGGTAGTTGAAGGAAAACGTAATATAATAGGATTGGAATTAGTTTAATGAACAGGTATGGGTGTTATTTTAAGTTGTTGTCGCGGAAATGATAATGATGAGAATGAAGGGTTGTTAGCTGGTCAACAAGCTGGGTATGGTGGTATCCAAGATTCAATTGAAGAAGATGATTTGATAATGCAGAGGAAATTACTCGAACAAGAACAAAAAACAATGGAAAGAAACCAAGAATTGAAAGATATCGTAATCAACTTAAATGATAAACTAATAGACATTTCAATGATCAGTAATAGTGGGATTGTGATACAAAGTACCGATTTGGATCAACTTCATGAAGAGGGAAATGAGAATGTCATTGTTAATGATACGGAAGGAGAAATACGAGATAATATCGAAGGACAAAAAACGGAACCAACATCACATTTGAAAACTTTGGATACAAAACAGATGCCTCCTCTATTAAAAGATTGTTTAAAAAAGATCCATACAAATATCTTCGAAGATTTGAACCATCAATTAAAGATAGAGTCCTCAGAAAGTCTAGTAATAACATTGTAAATATGATCCCAGGAGCAGTAAGACATTTATTATATCAATTTCAAAGAACAAAGCACATTAACGAACAGTCATCATAACTTATCCTCCCTTCACATCCCCCCCACATTTGAAATCCTTATCAATTCATATATGATGAAATAGTCTGTACAGTAGACTCAGAATAACAAATTAATAGCCGTTTCAGAATGAATAACAGTTTTATATAAATAATTTAAATAGAGTAGAGCAATGGATACGTTTGATATATATATTATACAGTCCTGACATGTTATCACCTTGATTTCAAGACGCATGTCATGGCATGGCATAGACTAAGTTGTAGTTATTCAGATGAATTAATCGCAGCAAGAGTTACCCTCCCGTAGGCGTGGTCCGTAATATCAAAATATCAATCATTAAATTTATTTAGAATTTTATCAACAAAGCTTATTTAATATCAATAATTGCTAGAGAATCCAGTTAAAACACGAGATTCTAATACTTTTCAAGGAACTGTACCATACTAGATTGAGGTAACAGTAGTGGATCCATTGGTCTGTTCATATTTTTTTATTGTTTACCTATAATTTTTCTTCTCTTTGTTTTAATATATCCCATCTCAATAATAAAAGTTAAAAAAAAAAAAAATAAAAAACATACAGAAGAACGAATTTAATAGTTGGAAAATAAAATAAGAATTGAAAGTGATTTAAAATAGGAAATACTCTCATTTTTTTTTGATAGAAATTAGAGATATAGGAATAAAAGAAGGTTTTATAAAGTTAAGAATTTGTGATGCCTCCAAGAAAGAAGAGAACATTAGAAGAGTCTGAGGCGGAAGGTAAAGTTGGTGCTGATACAGGTGAATCTGAAGTTTCTACTCCAGTTGCTGTATCTTCGATTAATGGTGATGGTCCAAAATATCCACCAGGTAAACATCCAAGAGGTGAGAATAAGCTTCCTAATGTCGATTATGAGACTCCTATAGATGCGGATTTGGAATTATATAAGGATGAGTGGACAATACCAAAATTTAATTTATTTATTAGTTTTATTCTGGACAATCTTGTAGAGACTTATAAGTCAATGTTCAAGGATTTTATTAAATTACCAAGTAGAAAGTTTCATCCACAATATTATTATAAGATTCAAAAACCAATTTCCATCAATGAAATTAAGTCAAGAGACTATGAAGTACCAAAAGGCTCACATATTTTTCTGTTAGATGTAGAGTTGCTAACTAAAAATTGTGCATCATATAATGAAGCAGATACTTTAATTGTGAAAAATTCTATGCAAATTGTTAATTATATTAGATACGAAGTACTAAAAGCTAAGAATATCAAGAGGAATTATCTTCTAACTGAAGATGTAAGTTCAAGACTACTGGCATATGTAAACCGTTTGATAAATGCTACCGATAAAGATATCGATAAACAGTTAGGTTTTGTGTTCCAGAATTCTGATGATACCATGAAAATTAGCACTCCATTTTTGGAACTGGTTGATAGAGATGAATTATCGGAATATTACGAGATAATTCAGAGACCAGTTGCTTTAAGTATTATCAAAAAGAACTTAGAAGTCGGTTTATATTCAAAAATATATGATCTGATTATTGATATGCAATTAGTATTCGAAAATGCTTTAGTATTCAACCATTCTGATACTTTAATATACCAAGACGCTAAAAAATTATTGAAATATTTCAATAGTTTGATGCAGAATAATTTTTTCCCAGAATTACAAGATGCAAGTGAACGTGGTGAAATAAAGTTAGAATATGATAAGATTGAATTTGAACAATACCTAGGGACAGGA